GATCGTTTGTAGGCCGTTGTGACAGATTCCGGCAACCACCTGACAAGTATGGGTGGGTGGGGGTGTTTTTGTCAATTTTTAAACTTTTTTCTGGGGGTATTTTGAAATTAATAAACTTAAGGAGTATAAAATAATTAAAAAATATACTAATATTTCTCAAATAACAAAACAAACAATATTTTGGGAATAGGATTAAGAATATGGGTAGAAATAATGTGCCAAACAGAGCCAAAACTTTTACTACTCACAAATTAGGCGGTCAGCCAGAATTAACAAAAACTTATAATTGGCCAATGGATTATATTAAGGGGGTGTTTCTCTGACTTTATGAAAATTAGCTTATAAGCAACAATTGCTTATAAACTAATTTTAGCTTATAAGCATTTGAAATTTTAAGCAATTACGTGTTTGGTTAAAATACTTATAAGTGACTGATAAATAGTTGACGTGTTTGGTAAAATGTGGTTTATAAGTACATTTTATTATAAAATAACTAAAGAGAGTACTACATTAAACAAGGGTATACTATGGAATTTTAAAATTAAATAAGGATAATGTAGTAATATATTTGGTCAAACTAGCTTATAAGCAAAAAAAAAAAAAANTATTTTTTTACATTATTTTGTAAACATCATAATGTGACATATGCTACAATCACACGAATTCTATTATAATATTAAAAATTAAAAATAATTAAAAATTTATATGATTGTGATATATGCTACATCATGATGTATTCTTATGAAAAATATCATCATTCACTATTCTATCACATTCCAAATAGCTTTTAGAAAGGAAATAATATATTTAAATCATGGCTTTCTCTTTCAAATCAGTTCACCGAATGTCAGGGAAAAATAATAAAGAAAACTTTTTTGAATCATTATTATTAGTGGCACCCAAGTTTTACACATTGTTTGTATTTAACTAATAAGTTACATATTTAAATACTAACAAAAATTTGAAATATAATTAGTTGATAATCATAAAACTTTGAATAAGTCTATCCTTATAAAGAACTCTACAAAGAAACTTACAAAGTGAAGAAAAAAACAAAGAAAAAACGGAAAAAGAGAAAGAGAGAGAGAGAGAGAGAAATGACGAAGATGAAGGGTGGAGATTAACTTTATATGCCTCTTTTGTAGGCTTCTTTATAAGACTAATACTGCTGTAAAACTTTTACTACCCACAAATTAGACGGTCAGCCAGAATTAACAAAAACTTATAATTGGCCAATGGATTATATTAAGACACACATCTTAATATCTCTTGCACAACATATTTTATATTGCCTTCACTGTTTCAACTATCATTCAATAAGTAACAGAGTTACCCAAAAAAAGGCTACCACTTTGGACATCTTGTTAAAAATTGATTTGAATCCTCCAAAATACACACCAAAAACTCTATCAAATATTCCACCAGCACATATTCAATAATCCCACTAAACAAGACAAACTGTTAAACCCACACACTCCCTAAACACCATCTAACAATCATTCTTTTCTTGGTTTTCCTTGAGCTCAGAGGAGAATTCAAATAAGGCTATGTGGATATATCGGATCCACTTGGGACGGGTTGTGATGCAATCATGCAACAAATGATGATCTTGTGAGTGGTTGTGTGGATGCATCAATTGGATCGGGTTGTGATGCTTAAACAAATCTAGTTACATACTATCTGTGCAACAGTCTGGCCCATTACCAATATATTGTCTGCTTTGGGCACACAATCCATCACGATTTTGCATTCAGACTTTACAACCTGAAACATGTCTTGACGGCTTAGGACCTCATAAGCAATTTAAATCTCTATGTATTAATAGATCCATATCTATAGTAATTTTTTTAACACAAACACACATTAAATTCTCCTTTTCATGATCATTATAATCCCTCAACAAATCATCAAAGACATCATCCCAATTAAATTTTGCACACTATGCAAATAAGCACCACCACACAGTAACCATTGAACAATGCAACACCAATCAAACCTTGTAAACATCTCTTGAGTTGTGGCTAGCCGGAGCCTCGTTGTGGGCACTAGGTGTATAGCAGCAATCCATGTGCAAGAGTCCTCCATTAGAGGTGAAAAGCCTAAGATAAATGTATATAACCATACGAGTTCCTTAACTTGTTAGATGTGTTTTGGGTTGTAAAGCCTAAAGGCAAAATTGTGAGGACCTTGTGTCTAAAACATACAATATCTAACAAGTGGAACCCCAGGTTGTTGCAAATGGTATCATAATTGACTCGCCAAACGGTAGGTGATAAGTGTAGGTGGTTTGTCATGAGCCGTGCCTAGCCAGGGCCCTATTGTGAGAATTAGGTATATGAGAGAAACCATGTGCAATAGTCTCACATCGGAAGAGGAAAGCTTGGCTAAATCTATATAATCATATGAGGTCATTAACCAGTTGGACGCGTATTGGCTTGAAAAGCCCTAAGACAAAATTGCGAGGACTTTGTGTCCAAACTGGACAATACTTAACAAGTGGAAGGAATCCGGGGTTATCACAACGCCTCATAGCAGCACCCAAGCTATAGTATTCTCACGCTAAGCCAAAAACAATTAAGCATCAATAAGACGTGAGAAATGCCACCAGAGCAGCATCCAAGCTATAGTATTCTCACGCTAGCCAAAAACAATTAAGCATCAATAAGACGTGTGTAATGCTACCGTAAGCGGGATTTGTGCATCAAATGAGATAATAAAATTCTGGTTGTGAATTAATTATAATTATTTTTTGTGTCTCTATTATTTTTCATAAGACATATTAGAATTTTAATTGGTTAAAATTTATTAATTACTATTTAGTTCTTCACTTTTATATATAGAAGAACATCTCTACAGTCATAATGTTGAGACCAATTAAATTTATTATTATAAGGAGGTTATAATTTAATAAATGTGTAGTTACAAGAATTTTTGTTTTAATTTCTTATTTTATAATTCATGTTTTAATAGTATTAGTATTTCAATTTATTGTTTCAATAACATTAGGATAATACGAAAATAGATATCAAAGTTATTATAAAATTGAGTGATTAGATTCGACAACTTCACTACACTAATCAAATAGATATTAATGGTTTCCTCAATCATCCAAACGAGTAATAAGTCGCTTATGTTTTAACTGAAGATGAAATTATTACTAGAATTAGACAAGAAGAGGAAGGAAATAATCTTGAGTATGATAGTACGGAAATACCAAAAATTTCACGTCCATAAGCTCTAAACATGCTTGAGAGCTAGAAATTTTTTGGCTTCAACAAGAAGGTTGCAAGATAAAAGATGTGGTAACAACTTTAAAGCATAAATCATTGTCCCAAATAACTTTAGATAAATATTTTATTTCATCTTAACTTTTAATGTAACATAACATATATTTTTTGAAATATACATATAGTTAATACTATGTAGAGACAAAGTTTTCAAAACAGGACCTAGAAAAATTATAACTTATTATAATGTGAAATTTATTATTATTTATAACTTGCCCAAGTTGGGACCAGAATTTTTTATAATTATATGGATGTTATTTTTATATAGATTATCACTATAGAATGACTCTACGATATTAGTTTTATGTAATATTTAACTGTTGAGCAGTTATTCCAAATAGTTGTCTTTGATGAAAAGACTTCTATATACTTTAAAAGGGAAACAGATATAGGCCTCCAATACACGCAATTAATTTTGATATTCCCAAAACCATATGAATTGCAGTGCACTGGAAGAATATGTAGGCTTCGTTTGTTTCGCTTTTGGGAATACTATTATTAATATTCCTAAAAAAGTTAAACAGTAAAATGTCATTATTCCCAAAATATTATTCTATATTTTTCAATTTCTTTTAAACTTCCTAAATTTATTAATTTAACTAAACACCCCCAAATTTTTTTTTTTAGAAATTGCAAAAACACTCCAGCCACCCTAAGCAGTGGTGGCCGGCTGTCCGTATTTAATGGGTGGGTTAGGGGTGCTTTTGTTAACTTTTAATATTTTATTATAAGGGTGTTTAGTAAATAAACAAACATAGGAGATATTTTTATTAATTTTCAAATCCTACATCGTAATACCCGCCCAATTTAACTTTTTTTCAAAAGATTATTAAAAAAAAACTATCAGAATAATGAACCAAATGGAGCCGTAATCTTTGAAGAAGACAGCAACAACAAATTACTATGGCAGGAGGTTAGTAATATTGATTTATTTCTATTGTATTTGTATAGAACATGTATATGGATTTATATGATTTGGCTATATACATGTTTCTTGATATGAATAAAATGTTTAACAAGACAATCACCAACACACATATTAATCATATTAAACAAGGTTGAGCGACATACTCCCACCCAAACTTGCCTTAAAGACATTTTAGTACTCAAAAAGTTTGGAGAGTCACTTTTTGTCCTGTTTTGTTAGTAAATTCTATCTGTTGAAGGATGTGGTAATTTGACTAATTTCTTTAGTCCTAAAATTTCAAATTTAAGGTTGCTTTTGTTTAAGTTTTTAAACCCTATCTTATCTAATATAGTGACATATTTGTTTTAATATTGATTATTCAATTTAAAATTTAATTATATCTTATTCAATTCAAAATATTTAGTAATTATTTTTTTTAATAAAAATTTATAAATTAACAAAAATATCTCACTCACCAAATTATTGTTGGTAATCGGTTATCATTGTCAACAGTGATCAATTGCAAGCAATAATTGGATGAATAAAAGTATATTTATTAATTTATAAATTTTTATCACGAATGGCGTTTAATTAAATTAACAAGTAAAAAAGTTAAAAATAATATTAAATATTAAAAAAAACATTTTTAAAAGACGTGCCAAAAACATTTTCATAATCCTATCTGGCCTGATTAAACTTAAACAAACGCAGAATATTTGTCTCGGTTAGTGGAGCGAAGCTTCTTGGAAGATTCAATTAGTTGCTCGACATGTGTCCGCTTCAGTTGTCCTCGCCAGAAGAAAAGAGTAAACGAAAAGCCATTTGCCTTTTCGCGTGTTGCCGCTTCCTTCTTTGTATCTGAAGCAGTTAGGAGGGAATCGGCGAGAAACCATCGACGACGAGAAGATAAACGAAAACCGGGACAGTGGTGGACGACTTAAAACCGGCGAAAGTGGCGGAGTGAGGGCTGTGAACGGCAATGGCATGGTAGGCAAACGATCGATGACGAGTGACGGAGAGAACCCTCGGGATTCCATAGAATTTTTTTTCCCATTCTCTCTTTTTCTCTTTGTGGGGGGAGGGAGTGGGTGGGGTTTGTGGAACTTGCAGTGTTGGGCATTGCCGCCCTCGCTGCTTGACATTATTTTCTCCTTCTATACATGATACAGTGCACAAACACACTCGCAATCCATTTTTCTAGTTGGTTTCCAAGTATATATGTTGATGGTAATATGTTGTAAGATATCTTGCATCAAAATATTGATGCTGACAAGATTTTTTTTTTTTTTTTTTGGTCTACTTTTTGTTAGATTTTGCAGATTTGTGGAAGGTATGGCTCTATTTTTCGAGATCTGCTTGGTATTGTGCTTGGCATCTTATACGGGTAATAATTTGAGCTCCACTCCATGTAAGATGTCATAACTTGAGCAAAAATCTTTGAGTATCTCTTAAAGTAGATAATGTTTTTGCTTATGAGCATACTGGTAATTGTTTAATCTTGGAACCTTAATATTTGGAGAAAAGTCTTAGACCAGTAGGATTTTAGAGTAACAGCTAATTTTTGCATGATTTAAGATCAAGGGCAACGTGCAGGAACACATGTGATATTTCTTTGCTTCATATATGATTTCTCTAATGTTTGGCCAAAGATTTGATGATATGTGCTCTTTGTTACTTAGGGGGTGTATTCACTTTAATAATTTATGTAAACCTGTGTGATTTTATTTTCATGCTTGACATTTGTCAAGTTTAGTACATGTGTGATTTGTGGTTTTTTGGCAGTTTCACCTCTCTATCCATATGAAAGGACATAAATTGGCAACCATTCTGTAGTTGCTATTCCCTTTTGCCTGTGGCCGTGGGTGTACCTGTGGTGGAGAGCCATGTTAACCCATGCTATTGTGTTGCACATGTTTATTGACACCGCTTAATTCTTGAATAACAATCCATGGAATGGGATGGTTGTTACCTTTTCGGAGACAGAAAGACATGGTTATGTGAAATAAATAAATTACATTTATCCACTACATTAAGTATGACAATTTTCGCGTAAGACATGATGTTAATGATGTGACCGTGGATTAAATTTTGGTCGTTTCCGCATGAAGGAGAAAGGGCTGGTTGATCTTAAAGGGGAAATCTAATGGATAGATGTGGTGTTCAGACTTTAGTCCAAGCATTGTTCTATTCCTGGCTGCTTTTGTTTTTTGTCTTTTGTCATATCCATTAGACGAAGCTACCCTTGGTTGCTTTTGTATTTCAATTATAATTTCGGGTTTTTGAGTGTCACTGTTCTTTCAAGTACCATGCTTTTTTTTTGTTTTTAATAAAATTTTCACAGAGCTGCTGCTTCTTTTGTTCAGAATGATCTTGTCACCACGGATGGGGAATGGACATGAAACTTGGATATTGCGCACAGGTGAGATTTCCTTAGATATCTTTTGTTATGCACGGAAAAATAAAGAGCTGACGTGGAAGGAGTCACGTCAGGAGTAACCTGCCCCTGTCAGGACAATGTGCGCACGTCAGACCTGCGAATAAACATGGAGCTTACACGCGTCCATCTCTCTGCAGTAAGTCATGCAAAGTCAGCTTGGAAAAAGGGAAAACGGGACGTGAAGATAGATAATATCCTGACAATCACACCAACCCGTAGATTTAGTGATGATTACACGCTTCCATTCGATATAAAATGAAGAGAACCTCACCATTAAGGGGGTTGGTTCATTCATTACCGAAAAACAACTCTCTCACTTGTAAAAAAGAGAAGAGTAGCTCACTTTTCATAACTTTTTGTACGTCAGTACGCTTTAGCGACCTGACCAACACTAAAATCAATACAACTCAGTGGATGTAGGACATGCTACCTTAGCATCCGAACCACTTTAAAAGTTTTTCTAGCATTTATTTCATTTCATATACCCATTATCACGTGCGTTAATTCATCAAAGAACAAAACCCACGTGACAATTGGTTGGTGCCGAAAAACAGCATCAACAGTTTGGCGCTAGAAGGAGGGCCTGATTTAGCGTCTATCCTTCATCAGGAAAACCTTGGGCCTACTGGTCTGACAGCTACAATGGCCCGCCAATCTGAACCGGAGCAGGGGAATCAACATGCAGAAGGAGTCCCCCCAGCCCAGAGGGGCACCCCTTCCAACGCACCTCCAGTTTCGCAAAATGCTGTTGGGAATACCCCAACGGCTCCGCAACTGGACCCTGTCATTCGAAGCTACCTGGAGAGGTTCGACAATACTCTCCAGACGGTCAACCAGAGGTTGGACCGTCTGGACCAAGGCATGTCGTCCGCGACAGCCGGTGCGGTGCAACCGCCAAAAACACCTGCAACGCCGCGCGAAAGCACGGCAAAGGGCGATAGTCCGTGCCGCGAGCACTGCAGCGCTTAAACGCAAGGGTAAGCAAGTGGCAAAAAGTAAGCCTACAGGCTCCCAAAGGCCACGAATACAAGGCCCCCGAGCAGGGTGTCGCAAAGCTGAGACTCGTGTGAAAAAGTAGATCCCGACTGTCCCACGCCACTCGCAACCAAACCCGGCGAAAATGCTGGGCGCGATGATTCCAATCACCACCACAGAACGATCCCCCCGTCGTTCTCATGGCGGTTGGCCACCACACCTCCGGGGCGGTTCATACCACCGCGAGGGTCGTGAAAGTGCCCTCGCGTTACCACCACCTTCGCGCGTCTCTAGTCAGCGTGTGTCGAGCGCGGCTGGAAATGCGAGCCGAGGTGAGGAGGAATCCGACCTCTGAACTGTCCTGAACCGCAACCGAGAGGGCCGGCTCGCATGGGTGAAAACGACCCCCATTTGACTCCTTACCACAGATTGAGGAGCTCCAGCGAGCTCTGGATAGGCTAAAGGAGCACAAAACGAGCAGCCAGGTCGCTTCTGCATCCCCGTTTTCTCCCTGAAATATTGCTCTGCTCCGCTTCCACCAGGGTTCAGATGCCAGATATGCGACCGTTCGATGGAAACTACGATCCGCAGGATCATTTAATGAGTTCACGACCTGATGGAGCTCCACCAGGTTTCGGACCTTGCGAAGTGCCGCTGCTTGGCCGTGACACTGACCTCTCATGCCAAGCGTTGGTTTGGTCGCTCTCGGCGGGATCTATCGGTTCGTGGGCTCAGATGAGCACAGCGTTCCTCCGCATTTCCAAGCCAACCGAAAATTTTCAATGCCTTTGAGCTACCTCCCATAAAGGCAAGAGAGAGACGAATCCCTGCAGTCTTATATTGATCGTTTCCACAGGGAGCTCAACACAAGTGGCTCACGCCCCAGAAGAGTCCATCCGAACTCTTATATAGCTGGAGTTCGCCCGCAAACCGACCTGTGGAAAGAACTGCAGGCTGAGGACAATATTTCCCTCACCATTCCATAGCCTGCAAAAAAGCATCTCCGATAGAGAATTCATTGGCAGCACTCCGTCGTCGCGACCACGGCACATCCAGCAGCACGCCTGGTCGGAGATAACAGGCGAGCTCATCGCAAGGAGATACTGCCGATCAGCGAAAAGGAAAAAACCCCGCTACGAGCAGAAAAAGTCATATGCTCCTATTCCTCGTCGCGATCGCGACGCGACCCAAATCTCCCTGAATTGTCCGTATCCGCAATCCTCGACAATCCGAGGAGGCCAGCTTACTCGCGAGCCCGAGCCATGAAAACCCCTGCTACGGCCAGGAACAGCAAAAAGTATTGCCGACCATCGGGATAAGGGCACCTCACTGATGAGTGCCGAGCTCTAAAGCAGGCTATCGAAGAGCTCATCAGAAGGGCACTTCAAAGAGTACATTGATACTCCCAAAAGAAAACCAAGGGGAGCGAAAGAAGAAGCGCCGTGATCGCAGCGGGTACGACAGCGTTAATATAATCTTTGGAGTCCCCACCTCGCGGGAAACCCACGAGGAGCGCAGGAAATATGCTCGCGAAGCCTCGCACGACCCGATTAGGGTAATGAATACATCGGAGCGACCTCCAAAAGCCCGAAAAGAGAACCGATCACCTTCTGTGAGAAAGAGGCACTCGCTTGCACCACCCTCACGAGGATGCTCTGGTAATCACGCCCCTGATAGGGTGTCATAATGTCTGCAGAATGCTTGTAGACAACGAAGCGCTGTGAACTCCTGTTCAATCCCTTTCATAGATAACCTGGTCGAGGCCGACCTGAAGCCAGCCTCGATGCCTCTGTATGGTTTTACAGGGGATCACCTGATCCCCAATGGAACGATCCAACTCCCAGTCACGCTCGGCGATTACGACGAAGTGACTAGGGTTACAGAATTCTTTCGTGGACTGCCCATCAGCCTTTAATGGGATCTTAGGGCGACCTCTACTGAGAACTTTCAGGGCAGTCACTTCCATTTATCACCTCAAAATGAAGTTCCCCATCCAACGGGGATAGGGGAGGTAAGCGGATCGCAGAGGCATCTCGCGAATGCTATGTAAAATGGTCCAGATGGCCGACAAAGGAAAGGGCGTTACGCGATGTGCAACCACGCCACGCTATGGCGATCAGTCGGACCGAGCCACAGCCTGGTCCGGCAGAGGATAACATAGATCCGCAGTTCAGAAAATCCCCCGAGCGGTCCGGTGGAGGATCTGTCCGAGGTGTCGGTTGATCCAAAGGAACCGAGCCGAACGCTAAAGATCGGAAGCTGTCTCGGCCCGCAGCTCGCCTCTAGCTAATAAGCTTCTTAAGGAGAACATTGATGTGTTCGCCTGGTCGCATGCGACATGGTCGGGATCGACCCGAACGTTATTTTCACCCACTGAACGTCAACAGTGAAGCTAAGCCAGTTCGCCAAAAGAGAAGGGCAATGGATCCGGAGCGGTACGCCGCATTAAAATCAGAAGTGGAGAGCCTTCTTCGCAATGGATCTATTCGCGAGGCTCTTTACCCGACCTGGGTTGCTAACCCGGTCTTGGTCAAGAAGCCAAATGGCAAGTGGCGGACCTGCGTAGACTTCAGCGACCTGAATAAAGCTTGCCCGAAAGACAGCTTCCCCTCCTCAAGGATCGACCAGCTCGTTACCGCCACCTCGGGGCACGAGCTATTAAGCTTCATGGATGCATATCGGGATACAACCAAATCCCGATGTACAAGCCAGACGAGGAGCATACACCTTCACACGGACCGGGCTATATTGTTACAAAGTCATGCCCTTCGGCCTCAAGAACGCAGGTGCGACCTACCGAGGTTAGTCAACCGATGTTCTCCGACCAGATTGAGGACAATGGAGGTTTATGTGGACGACATGCTGGTCAAATCCCAGGTCTCCACAGATCATATTTCGCATCTCGCTGAGATGTTTGACATACTCCGACTCTACAAATGAAGCTGAATCCTCTAAATGCTCGTTCGGAGTTCATCAGGAAAGTTCCTAGGGTATATGGTAAATCAGCGAGGCATAGAGGTGAACCCCGAAAAGATCCAAGCCCTACTCGATATGAAAAGTCCGACCAGCAAAAAGCAGGTCATGAGTCTGAACGGGCGAATAGCGGCACTTAGTCGCTTCATATCGAGGCTAACAGACCGCTGTTTACCATTCTTCAACGTACTGAAAGCCAATAAAATTCGAGTGGACTTCCGAATGCGAGCAGCATTCCAGAGTATAAAAGAGCATCTTGGGAAGCCACCACTCCTCTCCAGCCACTTCCACAAGAAATCCTGCTCATCTACCTGTCCGTGTCTCAGTTCGCGTCAGTGCAGCTTTAATACGAAAAGAGGAAAAAGTTCAGTGGCCGGTATATTATGCAAGTAAGCGTCTATCGGATGCCGAGATGCGGTACCCGGAAATGGAGCGCCTAGCTTTGCCCTGCTGGTCGCGTCCAGAAAGCTGCGACCTTACTTCCATGCCCACACGATTAACGTAATGACGAGCTACCTCTCAGGCAGGTCCTCCAGAAACCAGAGCCTCGGGTAAGCTGCTCAAATGGGCCATGGAATTGAGCCAATTCGACTTAAGGTACACGCCTAGGTCGACTATCAAAGGGCAAGCTGTTGCAGACTTTATCTCGGAATTCTCCTATCACCCGATGCGAACAGCAGTCTAGCGAAGCCGGGTAAGAAACTATCCAAAACCTGTCGACGTGGAACCTCTACGTTGACGGGTCATCGAACAGAAAAAGAGCTGGTGCGGGTCTTCTCCTAGTAAGTCCCGAGGGGATCCATCCATGGTATTCTCCGATTCGGTTTAAAGCGACCAACAATGAGTCCGAATACGAGGCTCTGCTCGCCGGGTTGCGACTCGCCAAAGAAATGGGTGCAACCGCGATCAGTATATAGTGACTCCATGCTGGTCGTCAACCAGATCCTAGGGGAGTACCAAGCTAAGGAAGAGAATGATCCGCTACCTGAAAGAAGCTAAAGCCTCTTTGGGATCGTTCAAGCACTTTGAGATCGCCAGATCCCCAGGGAGAGCAACTCAATAGCGGACGCCTGGCAAAGATTGCCTCATCACTAGATTCGGAGACTCCTGATAACATTCCTGTTCGTTTTGTCAACGCTCCGACTATCAGCTTGGCCGAGCAGGCCGTGAATGAGGTTCAGACGGATTCCGGATGAACCCCATTGTACAGTACCTCAAGGACGGGACCTTACCCAACGATAAAGTCGAGGCGAGGGTCCTGCGAACAAGGTCTGCTCGCTTCACGCTCATCGGGGACCAGCTGTACAGGAGAGGATTCAGTGCCCCACTCCTCCGATGTGTGACCAGCGAAGAAGCAGCTATATCATGAGGAAATTCACGAGGGATCTGCGGTAACCACACAGCAGCTCGGTCTCTGGCGAACAAGATTGTTCGCCAGGGATACTACTGGCCC